CCCAAAGGCTGAGACTGGGATGAAAAGGAGTCAAGGCTACCAAATGAGGAATTCTGAAGAGGGTGTAAAGCAATAAAGTGTTTGGCAAATGCTCATCAGAGAATGTAAGGAGACCTGGGACCACCTGTTAGGTGAACCAGTACTTTGTTTTTTGTTTTTTTTTTTGCAGAGAACTGAAGTAAAGACTAGAGGTGTGAGGTGGAGGGCAGGCAAAGGTGAAGAAATTCACCAGAGACAGAGTGGGAAGTAGAACAGGCGGATCTACTGAAATACACTGCTGAGGAAAGAAGTAAGCGAGACAGGAAAAGTCTGGGGTTCCATCTAAGGTTTAGCTCCCTGGCCGGGTGGTGATAGTGGTAAGACTTTACCCTAGGCCACCAGGGAGGCCCAATGCTTGTACCCCTTAATCAGCCTCCCATCTGAGTTTATTTCCAATTCTGACCTAGTTCTGGATCATTTTCTGTCCATTGTTTCCAACTACTGATTTTCTGGAGGGTTTTTGCTCCACCCTGTCCCACTACAGAAGATAAGGGATATAATTTCACCACTTTGTTTTCCCTGGTCTAAACTTCCAATAATCAAAATAATGTAACTCCAAAGCTTAAAACTAGAGCAGCAATGTTTCATGAACTTCACGGAATAGTGATGGGTAGGTGGGGGAATAAGTGCAATGAGATTTAAACAGACTACTCATTTTCCAGTCCTTGGTTTGATGTCTGACAACATTTAATTGCCCTTTGAAGGAAGATAAGCATGCTTTCCTATGAACGCAACTTCATTGTTCTAAGATTGCAAGTAACGACATAAGAGAATTTTACACTGAAATGAGAAACTATGTTCACTTTTTCCATCAGGATCAGAGCCAACAACAAACCATATTTCTTGAAACTTAGGTGAGGTTTCCAAGAGTTAAACAGAACAGATTTACCAGCTAAAGGCAGGAAGCATGAGATTATAATTTGAACCAGGCAAACTTTCATAACAGAAAATGTGGCACTTAATGCAGTTTGCAGAATATGGTATGCTAAAAACGCTACTTAGGGCAGTAGCAGGCCTCTGGAGAGTTAAACTAGCCAAACAAAAGAACAAAAAAGGTAGAAAAAAGAAGCCACATCAGCATTACAAAGCCACAGAAGACTGATACACTTTCTTTTGCTGAATTATAACTTTTTCACCACACTTTGGTTTGAAAGCACAAAAAGTACATGACAAGAAAAATTTTCTCTTTGGCCATTTTGAATCAGGAATCTATATTAACTCAAATTTATCCTAATTTAACAGGACTTGAGTCTAACAAATACATACACTATTGAAGTCAACCAAGTTATTAACACAGGAGACTGTACTAGCAGATCAAAGTTTCTGCGGTTCCTTCTGGAACAGATTTACTTTGGGCTCCTGAGTGGCTTGGCCAGTTGATAGGACAGACTGATGTTTCTTTCTTGAAGTAAACATTCAATCAAAACCTCTACCAGAAAACTCATACTGAAGAGGCTTGGCTCCCTTCCTGATGTAAAAATAAGCACAAACACTTCAATGCAGGTCGAATAAAAAATGTACTCTAATCATCTTTGGGTCTCTTGCACTAGATATGCAGTACTTACTGCTTTCTTTTATAATACTGTCAACTCCAATTTTTGAAAATAAGAAGGTCAGCTGATAAATACTGCTTTGAAAAAAAATAATAACTGCTGATAGCGTATTATCTCAACTCACACAAGCCCCAGTTCCTCAGTGCCACCTTAGTCTTCATCCAGAAACTATTTACCAAATTTACAGTGCCCTAGGAGCACAAACTCAGACTAGACATGATCTTTCACACCAAGGAACTCATAAATGGTATCTGGCTAACAGACCAACAGAAATATCTTTACAGATTGCAAAATGCATCAGTGGCATACAATTAAATGCTCATTATTCATATATGACGTCAAGAAGAAAAGCAAAGAGCTTCGCTGGTTTTTAAATCCAACTGTGCAAAGAACGTTAGTAAGTATTCCATGAATAACTTACTGCACTTAGTCTAGATATTCTAGGAATAACCTAGAACAATTACCCTACTCTCCAAAAGGCAACCTTCACTCCCTAGAGATGGCACCCAAGTCTACGTTCAGTCTTCAATTGACTGTATCATGGCAACTCTTAAACTCTTACCTTCTTATAATGTGGTTTTAAATAGCCTCTCCACTCAAAATATGTTCCTGATGGATGTTCTGATTATACAAATGTAGGCTAAGTTTATGTGAATATTTAACAATTGTGATATACTACTGACCTAAATATTTTTAAAACATCCAGTCTTTATCTTTTATATTTCATAGAAGTATTTCAAATGTTCTAACACATTATATAAAGACAACTCTGAATATTTCTATTGCTAGTTCCTCTTGGTAGTATTACAGAATAAATATTTAAATTAATAATTTAAAGAGCATTAAAGAGAAATTTTAAGCACTCACATAAAACATCTCCTTTCATTATTCTTAACTTTGGTTTCTTATAAAAAGTATATTCCTGGGCCCTCCCTGGTGGCGCAGCGGGTTAAAGCACTGCACTAAGAAGCTTAAGCCACTTCCGCATGAGTTCGATCCCCGCCTGCCCCG